TTTATCATCGAACGATCGAAGCTGATCGTAGAAAAATTTTTATTTTATTCATTTCTTGACATACATACGTGATCGGGCTGTTCGCTCCAATAATGTAGCGTCTTGTATGAGAAATAATTGAATTACTATCTCGGAAGATCGATCGATCGTGACCGAAACGTTACGTCGCCATCTAAAGATCGACACCGTGATCGATAACATCGAAATCAAGACCGAGACCAGTTAACGTTTCAGAAATATTTCGCGTTACGTTACCACGATGCTTGATCGATCGATTTAATTCTTCCAACATCAATTCTTTTTCCTTCCCCCCCCCCTCCCCTCGCGGCCGATCATCCTCGGGGCCCCAAGGATCGTCATGGAAAGAAATTCAACGGATTCCTCGGGTCTATCAGCGATGTATTTTGCGGCGATGACCTCACGTGTCCTTCCACTGTCTTCCTCCGGGCATCGCGCGCGCCAGCAAAAAGGACTATTAATAATCCGCCTTGCTTTCTCATCCTCTTCAATGAAATGCGCAAGATGCTCGATAATTATTATCCATGTAACCGGGAAGAACACGACGCGTTAGTTTGCATTATACGTTGTATTACGTAATGATGTTTTATATATATTTACATCTATTATAGTCGCCTCTCTTAAATAATTACATTTAATTATTCTAAATTTTTAGATACCATGAATCCCATTAAAATTTCTGTTAAATAAATCGATCATTATTCCACATACACATGTAAATCTGTTTGAAAAAATTATGAAAATCAATCTACTTTACTGACAAGGAAGTTATAAATAATAAATTAATTCACATTTTTTTTATAGAAATAAAAACTTTTTATTTATTATATTTTATTAATTTATATTTATTATACTTATATTTTATTACTTTAACTATATTTTATTATTTTTATTTTTTATTATTTTTATTTATTTTCATATTCTTATATTAACAATATTTTATTAGTGCTATGTAAAATATGCCGAAGGAATATTTTACAAATTTTATTTCCTAAATAAATCTCGATTCGGTTAAAAGCGCGAATCACACTTGACACGAGACGTTCAATAATTCGATTTTTTAATTTCATTATTTCCCTCTGATAAAGGTTTGAAAAAAAAAATCATGCCGACAAGATGTATGCAAGATACGTGCGTTTTGAAATAGCCGTCTAAAGGCGGCATTCAATCGAAGACAATACTTGGCATTACTAGCCCACGTCGCGCACGATAGTCACGTGGATTACAAAAGCGTCGGCGTCATTATGCGTCGCGACGCGGGGCGACGCGTCCTAGATATCTCCCGCTCGCGGTGACTTGAACGCCGGCAACACACGCGATCCCACGCTCGGAGATGCGTATCTCCTGCGTCTGCCTCCTTCCGATCCTCGCCTTTGTTTCGGCGTCTCGTCTTCCCGGCGATTTCTATTCCTCCGCCCTTGCTGTATTCCGTAAGCTCGTCTCTTTTTTCTTTCTTCATCTCGCAATCGATGTCCCTTTGAATTCGGGGAATCCGTCTATGCAATCGAAAGGACGATCGCGACAATAACCTAAATAATTTTCTCGAAAGAAAATGTATCGAGGGAATTATAATTGAAATTTTATTCTTTTTTAAATTTTCGAATTTTTAAAAAAGATTCTTGTAACTTTTTAAGTATTGAAATTTTGTTAAGAGCAGACAAAAAATAAAATTTGAGAGAATAAACAATTTCAGGATATAAAAATTTCAAAGTTTAGTAAATGCATACAAAAGATTGTATATTTATTGAATTAAATTAATTCAAAAATTCGTCCTTTAATTTAAAAATATTCTTTTATCAAATAAACAATTTCATTAAATAAAAATTATTAAATAAAATATTTCATAAACAAAATATATCTGTTTTTTAAATAAGATAATTTTTATGGGGGATAAATTAACCTAATCTAACTCGATCGATTCAGTGTTCTTAGAGGAGTTTTATGGTAAAGTCAAAGTTTATGGGATTCTAAATTAGGATGAAAATAGCGAGGAATGCGAGTCCGCGGATTTCGCCGGCGCCAAAAATAGCGCTGTTAGACGAGGCTTTTATTAGACGTGCTTTTATTTGTCGACCGCACGTCCGACATGTTTATGCTCGTAGATAAAGAAGAGGCGAGCCACGTGTGTCTTTGTCCCGCGTTTTTCTCGAAAAACAAGAGCCGTTTCTGGTCGCTCTTCTCAACCGGTGCCAGACCGGAATCGAAACGATCAAAATTCCACGCACGGTTTCCTCGGACAGGAATAACAGATTCATCCAAAATACCACGAGCGACAAACGACGGGAGGCGAATCCCCCCCATCATAAAAATCTCGAAACCGACATCACAAAATCGTCCTTTATAAAATCGACTCCGATTCATTTCAGGCGCCCTCCTTTTCTTGAAACTCGATTCTCAGTGTCTCCGCTAAATGAATTATTGTCCACTCGAAATGGTAGAAAAGATGACGCAGATTTTATTTAAATACCGCTTGAGACATCGCGATATTAAAAGATCGCCACTCTCGACAAAATCTCGAGCTATCTAATGATGACATTTTTGTAAAAAGAAACTTCATTTCTGACAAACAATAAGACTCTTGTCGAAAGGGACACATTCTCTTTACGTTTTTAAATAAAATTTTCATAAAAATAAACTTTCCCTATTTTTTGAATACGGTTTCTCCTTTAATTCCCTGGAAACTTGATTTTACTATTAAACCGATCACGTTCTTTCGCCATCGAGGTCGGTTTATTCGAGAGAGGGAGATTTGATAAAACTAGCTCTCTCGCTCGCTCCTTCGAATTCTCGAATCTCCAAATTTCTTTCTCTTCAACTTTCGCGGAATCTGCGAGCGTGATCGGTTTTTACTCGGCGACACGCGGAAAAGTTAGGTCCGCACGCGCGACACGGTCGCCATTACCGCGATTTTATAGTTAATTAATACTGTGGCACGGTTGCGGTATCGTGAGCAGCTGGAATTTTTCACCAATTATTTGTTTCGCAGCCGGCGATTCATAGCCGAGTAGAACGGATACGTTGCGGTCGATTTTAAGCGAGAGAACCGATTTCTCGAAACGTCAACGAAAGGAAAAAGATAAGCATACGAGAAGCGACAGAAACGTATGGACTTATTTATCAGTTGATTACTTTTAATTAATTCATCGCATTGAAAACGCGATCGAATCTTAATCATTGCGAATATTAATCATTCAATTTAATACCGATTCAATTCACACGTGCCCCATATCGACAATTATTTTATACATATAAATCAAAATGATATATTTTAATAAAGTATTTTTTCATCGAGTACTTTTCAAATTATGAGGCTTGAAATAATTTCTTAATTTTTACTTAAACCATAAAATATCTAGTAAAATATTCATTTTTCGATTATCTTATCTTAATGTACAAAATAATGAGAGGAATCGATTGGTGTAAAGAAAACACATAATTGTTTCGAAAAAAATATGTAGTTTACAAAAATATATAATTAAGAATTACTTTTTTTTTTCAAAACAATTATGTGTTTTACATCAATTGAGTCCTCTCATTATTTTATACGTAAAAGTATTAAGATAGGATGATCGAAAAATGAATATTTTACTAGATATTTTATGGTTTATGTAAAATTAAGAGATTATTTTAAGCCTCATAACTCGAAAAATACTCGATGAAAAAATACTTTATTATAGTGTTTTAAAAAGCTCTCGTAAGCTACAAGAGCTTTTTTTTTAGAAGAGTTTGCTTTGACACCCTGTATATAACGTAAACAAATTATAAAACTTCTGATTATTTATTTTTTTAATCTATATGATTATTTAAATTTATGCATATTGCTTTATTAATCTTTTCTATCTCTCGTACTTGATTATGTACTTGTTACTTTTTTTTTCAAATTTTATTTTTATATAGACACTTGTTGATTTCTGCTTGCTTTTTTTTTCTCATGCAGTGTCGAGGATCGAGTTCCGTGTTTACTCGGCGGGATGCGCGCACGAAAAAATACAATTTTGACGATAATCGCGATCGCGCGCTTTCTCCTCGCGTTGCCCGCGCGCTCATTTGCATCGTATCGTAATTTCCCATCGAAAATGAGCCGCGCGAATATACGTATCGCAGTAAGGCTTCAAGGAAATCGTTATTAAGTAATGATTTCCTTGAAAATATTTTTCCATTAATCGCGATTCCCGCGCGCGATAAACCAGCAACGGGTGTCGCGAAAAATGCGCTACCCATCAGTAATATAATATCATCATTCTCCTTCAAATATACACATATATATATAAGTATAATTTTTGAACCTAGTTGATGCCGTGTAATTTCCTTTCGAAACGTGCGTCGTGGGCGCGCGAGGTAGAATCCCTCCGGCGCGATTGATGAATCGGAGGCTGCGTCATCGCAAAGATTTCCACGCGAAATCGACGACACCTCCATCATCGCCTTTATCTGTAACCTGTAACTCGAGATTATACGCGGTCGCGATCGACAACGAAATTGTACACTTGTGTGCGATTTTATCTATGATTGTGCACCAATCATCTTTATATCCAGAAATTTTAATAATAACAGTAATGATGGAATTAATCATTCCAGAGGGAACATTATTCCTCTTTCGATATTTAGGGGAAAGATATCTGCTCGCTAGTATTTATGTCTTTAGAAGAGTAGCTTTGTTGAATGCAAAATTTTGGGATGAAATTTGACGTGTCCTTTTCGAAAGAGCGGTCGTGCATCCGCAACAACGTCCGATCGATCGCCGAAAAAAGTTTACACCTCGCTGGCCGCAAATAATGCGGCTTGCTGCACTTTCGCAACGCGGATAAATATATATCTGCACGAGGCTCGCACACACACATACATTATATATATATAGGCGCACGCACACGCGAGCAATCGCTACACCGCGAGCTGGTACCCACACTCCTGCCCACACACACACGCGTGTGTGTGTGTGTGTTGTGTGTGTGTACGATACCGGAACGAAGCGAGTGACTAACCTCTGTGAATAGAAGAGACGAGGAGATCGCTGCCAGGTTAATACCTCGAGAAGACCAGAAGGTCGATCCAAATGGCTCCCCCTCAGGACCCTCCAGAGAACTCTGGAGCTGGGAATTCCTCGGACGGATTAACAACGCGGTCGCGGAGAAGCTGCCGAAACTCTCTCGACGAGAGGTCGTTCACTGGTCGACGATCATGTGGTGCACGACACGCTGGATGACGCGAGGCGTCGTCGCGGCTCGACGCTCCTCGCACAGGTAACCACGTAGACGCGCCGACGCCTGGTGGCCATGCGACCTTCCTCGATCCCCCGGAGAAAGCTAATTTCTCGAGGTTTCCTAGGTCCTGGATGCTTGAATGTTCTAGGAACGCAATGTTTGATCCTAATTTCCCGTCAACTCTCCCAAAATACGACAGATCCCGATTCCTCTCGAACCCTCAGAGATCTCAGGATCCTAGCTTTTAATAGATTTTCCCTCTTGGACTCTTTGGAGATTTTCTGATTCTCCAACATATAAATTATTATAACTCTCAATTCCTCCGGATGGAATAGATCTTGAATAGATCTCGAACCTTAAGGTGTAAATCCTGCTTCTTTGGGTTTTTAACGTAAGAGATCCTCGGGATTTCTATTTCTTTGATTATTCTGCACTCGCGCAGTACCGTCTCTAGAAGACGGAAAAATATCACTCTCACTCGCGCGGACGTTCTTCGGAACCCACGAGTCCATGCATTCGTTTTATCAGGCAAGCTGGTTCAAACAGGGACCAGTCCTTACGACGAGGTCCTCGAAGATTTGCGATCGCTGGACGCGACCAGCGGTACCAGCTGTTTCTAGACGCGTATACGCGATCATAAACCGTATTGCTCGCCGGCAACCAAACGACTGTAAGCGCGATGGTAGTGGTGGAGGAGGAAGAGGTGGAGGAGGAGGAGGAGAAGGAGGAGGAGGAGGAAGTGGTAGGGTAGGTAGGTAGGTAGGTGAGCACTCGAGAAGAAGGAGAGCCTTCTTCGCGGCGTCCTCTTCCACCTCGCCACTACGATTGTCCGGCAATCCTTAGTCTGCGAATTTCGAGTTGCCGCGACGTTATCTTTCGACGATGACGACGATCGATTCAACGCAAATGCCTAAATAGACAGGAATACCTGTAGGAAGTGGCTCTCCTCTTTCTTCCTTGGTTCTTCAATCGGAAGTCGATCGCGATGCTGAGGAACTTTTGGAGAACGACGATGAAGATGATGAACACTCTTCTTCAACGGCAAATGGAAAAGTGTCTCTGAAACACTTCCCCTTTGTTACGATGATGTGCCAACTGTGTCAACGATCCTGATCGGACGCGCCACTTCAACAACTCTCTGTCCAGCTCGAAGATTCGAAACTCTTCTACTGATCGAAAGCTCTGCTAAATATTTATCTCGAAATGGTCAGAGTCACAATTTCCTGAAGATCCTCCTAGAGGTCTCGAAACCCTTTTGCAGATCAAAATTCAGCGGGACGAATAAACTCTCCTCGCGCACAGCAAGACGGCAAAGTGAAGAGAGAGAGAGAGAAAGAGAAAGAGAGAATGAAAAAAAAGAGAGAAGGAGGTCGACGGCGACGTCGCGACGCGCGTCGTCGGCGAGATGAGGCAAGCCACTGGTCGGTCCCCGCCGTTGCTCTATGGCGTGCATCATGGCGTGTACTTCCAGCGGTATAGTTTGCGCGAGCGGGGCCCGAGGGGAACTTGAGGAGGTAGAGGAGGGAGCGATCGACTACGAGAAAGAGAGAGAAAAACAGGGAGGGAAGGAGGGAGAAAAGAGAGAGAGAGAGAGAACACGCACTAGGTAGGTAGGTAGGTATGTATTTCGCCTGGGGCGACTCCAGGTATAGCGGTACTTGGATACCTCATTCCTCTCAACCCCCTCCGGGGCCCTGCTTGCTTCCTCCTCACCGCGCGACACCCTCCTCCTCGTCGTGGAGCGCACAAAGGTTCTCCAACCGGCGGTTCTCCGCACGTTGCACGTGTCACTAACACGGACCCGGTGAAGCCTCCTCTCCCAGGTCCGCGGGGAGACCGTCGATGCAACTTCAAGGACGTGGCTTTTCGGCCTGAGCCTAGGCGCTCCGACCTACTGAGACGCCAGAGACTTCGACGAGGGGTTAAGACATGTTCATCGAGTTCATCGGGAAGAAGGAACATGTACGATTATCAATCATTGCGAATGCGCTGGTCTGGGAAAGATGTAATTGATTGATAGAGAGCGTATAGCAAGAGAGTGGTATGGTAGTGGTAACGGTGCCACACTAATAGCATTTTATCCAATACACGTGTCGTAAAAGTTATTTATTTGAATCTCTTTTACCAACTTTTCTTTTTTTTTATTCTTTATACGAATGCGATTTTATTATGTTTTTCAAATTAAACATTTATATAAAATGTAGGGAAATTAGATTTACAATAATTAGAATTTAAATAAAAGAAATATAATTTTTTCACAAAGATTTATTTATAAAGAGAATAATTGTTTCTCTCTAAACATAAAATTCGGAATTAAATTCTTATTTGAATTTTTTTTATTTGAGTGCAATTTTGTTTTATTTAAAATTAAATATTTAAAACTCAAAATTTAAATAAAATTTAAAAAATGTAAATAAATTGGAGCTACAATAAAAATTAGAATTCAAATCGTGCGGCGCGGATAATATTAGAAATATATTACTTTTCGAAAAGTCTTACCTATCTTATTTTTTATTTCTCTAAAAGTGAAACAAAATTCGGACTTACTTAAATTAAATAAATTTATTAAATGAATACAAAACTATTTTTTTGAAAGCATACATTTTTTAAATCACACATTTTAATCAACTTTGGACAAAAAATTGTTGCAAAACACTTCTTTGCAGAAATCAAAGGAAAGACAAATAAAACTGATCAAAAAAAATATTCTCAAAAAAAATATGTAACTAACACTTTGACTAAATTTTTCATTGGCAAAAATACAATTAAGATATTTGTCTTCGAATTTGAATTTTTATTTTAACGTTTGCTTCAATCTTTATTTTAATTTAATTCAACTTTTTGCTTCCGCTTTTACTTCCTATTTTGATATGATTTATTAATCTGTCGTGATTTATCGATACACTCGGCAATCAGGGACAGGGTGTTGTCTGTAATCGACAACCCGTCGATATGTCGATATTGATATATCTCGCGAACCGAGTACACCTGCGAGAAAGGTCTTTTCACGTATGTATATCTCGCACAAAGAGAATAACGCAAATGCAAATGCACGTAAATAAACGATCGGCGGACAATAATTTATCGGGAGTCTCCGAATGCGCCTCGGAATTCGTTTGCATTCACGTGGTCCGCGGTATTTTTTTTTCTTCCACGACAAACATTCCAGCGCCGTGATAAAATTTTTAACGCAAAACCGCGGAATCCACCGCTAACTTGATGGCTATTAAAATCACCGATAACGTACTCGGAGACAGCGCGATCGATTGCTCTCGCAAAATTCTTCATAAGGAATTTTATTATATATAAATTTATTTTTTATTATAATTATATTTTTATTATTTAAAATTATAATTACTATAAAATTTATAGTTTGAGATTATAATTATTATAATATAATTTAACTAATTATTATAATTTATTATTATTTATTAATAAATTATTATATTATTTATAAATATTTGTTTATAAATATATATTATATTAATAAATTAATATATTTATTATTATTTATTAATAAATTATAATTATAATAATTTAACTAATTATTATAATTTATTATTGACATCACAAATTAATTTTTATAAATTATGAAAGAATTAAATTAAAGGAAGACGCAACTTCCGATTAAAACGAGACGAGATTCTTCAAAGTTCGCGGGATTCTTAGGATTAATCCGATAAGCGTTGATTTTGCCGTGGAAACCTACATTCGGCGGTCAGATCCGGGTCCAGGTTGGAAACGCGGATCTCTCATTGTGGCGAGAAAATAAATTTGATCGAACGGATCGGGGAGATCGATTCGATTCGCCGGCCGGCCGATCGCGGAAAAATGACGGGAGAAAGAAAGCCCTGACTAATAACCGACGGCGGCCTTGGAAAAATAGCGCTGCGGATGATGGAGCGCGGGAACGTGCGGAAGAAGCGCCGCTCGGCGAAAAGGAAAAGAGAGCCGACGGGTTCTGATCGATGATGTCAGAAGGATGCGCCGCTTATCGACGTCTGCACGTGCGCCGAGATGCTGCTGCAATTAAGCCTTTCTCTCTCTCTCCCTCCCTCTCTATCTCTCTTTCTCTCTCCCTCCCTCTCCCTCTTCCTCCCTTTCTCCCTCTTCCACAGCCCACCCTCGTCTCGCATAGCACGTGCACACCTGGTACAAGTCGACCAGCAGAAAGTCACGCGAATAAACGATGAGAGATAGGATGGAAACCGTTTCGATAAATGATAACGCATCTATAACTGACCGAAGCGACTCCTCGTTATTCTAAACACGCCCGTGACTCTCGTCGTTGTTGAGGGGAGAGATTAAATTCTCCTTCGAATCATCCGATGAATTTGTAGAAATTTTATATAGCAGTTAAATTTCTATAGATTTTAAAATTAACAGCGATTTTATAATAGTTAAATTTTTCATAATCAAAATTTAAATCACGTTGAATCTGAAACGTAAAAAATTCCTTGCACTTGTTTGTCGTAAATAAATTTGAATCTTAAAAAATAAAAATATAAAAATAAAAACATATAATAAATAAAAATATAAAAATCTATTCTATACAAATTTTATTATGCATAATAATATTAAAAATTAACTTTTATATCATTATGATAATTATAATATTCTGATATTAAATTGAATAATGTATTTCGCTATACAAATAAATTTTACTAAATTATAATATATAATAATAATAATAATAGATATCATATTTATCACATTAATTAAATATTATTTTCTTCGATTATTTTTTCAAAATAATCAATACCATGTTGCAATTTCTCCGAATAACATGGTATCTTTACACGATGCTTTGGTTTAACAACGTGATAAAGAAGAGGCAACAGGATGTGGATATTCTTAATAACGGTAACGGCTCATTCGGGATCCCTTTATGATCATTAATTCACTTGGTCGCACTAATATCGCTCGCGTATTATCATTATACCTGATGTGCCCCGGCGAAGCTCGTTAACGAAACTACGTAGTATTTGGTTGCATCCTGTGTTTGCTAATTGCGCGTATAAAACGCGAGGCGCAATTTCATCGCCGGAGAGTCACCGGAAATTATTCTCGGTATCATTCTAGGTCTCGAAGTACAAAAAAAAAGAATTTAAATGTTTAATCCGCTACAATTTTAAATAACAATAATATAACAATAATTATTATTAATATAACAATAATATAACAAGAATAATTTTAAATAATAATAATAAATTGAAGCCCTTGATGCTTAAATATCCTTTTTTCTGCCAAAATTCTCACCTCTTGAAGGAATCTGGGAGGAAAAATCCTTCAAAAATCCTTCCTGAATCTCTCAAACTGCAAAACGAAAAATAAAATTTTTCTTTCTAAAATATATAATTATAAATGTCGATGCTACGATTGAAGGTTTGGCAGCTGGGGGGGCTTGAAATTTTTCGAAAAATTAAAGAGACTCCTCGGAGATCCTAAAAAGTGCGATATTTCGATGCGAGCGGAAATTTAAAAAACGGAGAGAGAGAGACAGGTTTCTCTTTCAGGGAGCCGAGAATTCGATAGGGGCTGAGAGGTTTCGACCGCGAGAACCGGCCGAGCGTGCGGCCGGTCACCGTAGCCGAATTCGTCGGCCCCGGTTCCGGTGCGCGAACACGGCGCGCCAGGTGCAACAGGTGAGTCCGGCTCCGGGGCCCCCGAGCAGACACGGCTCGGTGCGGTGGGCCTTATCCACAGGTCGGCTCGACCAATCCCAGGACGAGACCTACATACGAGAGACTTCCACCACCCGCGGCTACCTAAGGACACCGCGCTCCTACAACCGGTTCGACGTAACTCCCGATCCCGTTAACGCGACGCGGATCGGGCTCCAACTCTTTCGGAGCTGGATCCGCGCCGACTGATATCCCGAAGATCGCCTCTTGCTTCAAAAATCCCCTCCCCTTCTTCTCCGAGAGAGAGAAAGAGAGTGTGTCTCTTGTTCTCCATTCTTCGAGCGATCGATGTATCTCTTTTGTCGTCCGCGTCAATTTAATTTGAATAGATCGATTCAGCGGCTACCGCAGCGATTGTGAACAGATGTGTTTGTTGATATAGGTGAAATTGTTAAGAGTAAAAGTCTGACAAAGTAATCTTCTTGGTGATCGAGCGTAATCTTGTGTAGCGATCGTGTTCGAACATATCACGTTCGGGCACGACATGATTCTTTCGCAAAAGTACTCTTCAATTTTGTTTGTGATTTTCTCAATTATAGTAGGCTCGTAAGAGAGGACGAGGAGGCAGAGCTCAGATATTTTCTTCGGAAATCTATTATCTCGAGAGCTGAGAATTTTTTCTAAAATTGTTTCTAATTATATATATTTGAGGGATAATTCGAATAATATAACTTGGAAATCTTTACGATATATTTAGAGAATTTTAAAAATTTCCGAAAAATTAGAGAAATACATTTCAAGATAAAAACTAAAGTTGGAAATTTTTTTAAAAATTTCTAGAGAATTAAAAATATTTTAATATTTCATAAAGAAATTTTAATAACTTTAATCATGTGAAATTTAGCACTTATCATTTGAAAGATTAAAAATTCAATTTCGGTTGTCAATTTTTCTTTACGATAAATTTGTAATGTAAGAAAGAAAAATACAGATGAGGAGAGAAAGAGACAAATAGAGCTTAGAAAGAGAGACAAAAGCATTTCTTTCGAAATTTATCATCTTAAAAATTTCTTTTACAAGTTATTATTTAATTATATAAGGAAATTTGAACAACATAATTTGAAAATTTTAAGAATTCTAAAAACTTGCTAAAAATTTAAACTTAGAAGTAAAAACTAAATTTAAAGATTTTTAAAAAATTTCTAGAAAATTAAAAATATTTTAAAATTGCTGTATAAATTTAAATATAAACTTGAGACTTATTATCAGATTTATTATTTATTTATTTAGTATTTAACATTTTAGACGTTAAAAA